TATATATATATATATAGATATATATATATATATATATATATATACTGTATATATTTATATGTATATATGTATATATCATCCTCTTTGGAGCAGTTGCCAGAATTAGTCAAAGCCCTATTGCTGTTATTTCCCAGAAAGCCTTGTAAACCTTCACCAAGACTTCTTTTCAAAACTCTGCATTTGTAAAGTATAGTTGATCAAGTGTATATCTGAAGTAAATCACACATGTATTTGTTTTCTAAGAAGTTGTATTTTATTTGGATAATTGGACAACAGTGGTATTTGCAAAAATATTGCACATGAATTATATGGATTTGCAGTGTACACTCTATTATGATGACCTGGACAAGCCATAGAATAAATTTCTTGTCAAAAATTCTTGAAGAAATATGTGAGGGTACATTCTGAAATGCATTTATTTTTCAATCTGAATTTTCCATAAATTATTGTAAATACAGTAGCAATTAATGAAATTGTTAGATAAGAAATGCAGTGTTCGGGAAAAACATTATTTACCAGAAAGTTGGTTTGTTCTGTCTGTCCCAACAACAATAGAAGCACAAAATACCAAAAACATTTAAACACACCCTCTGAGAAATAATTCCAACTATAATCTATAATAATAAAATCAAAATGAAAATTTTAGGAGAATATGGACTGTCCTGCTCATTTTATTAATTTGGGTTTCTTCAAATCATTTAAAATGCACAATAAAAACTGAAGCCATTAATTCAAAACCCAATTTTCACAAAGAATTACAGAGTGCATTAAAAAAAACCAGAACAAGGTGAGCCGTGTTCATTTTTCAACCTGAATGTTGAACAAATTTGATTTGACCAAAAGCCAGAGGTCAAAATCATGAAAAAGTGCAAAAATGATTGATGGCTATTGAATCAGCTTGTGAGTGAAATTGAGCGAAACACTCCTGAATTTTTTGTGCATTTTTGAAATTTCATGAAATGAACCAATCTTTAGATTTCTGCTCAACTAATTATCTGCACATCTCAGTAGGTTATGGTTTTGTTTTATTCTTGGATTTAGTACCACTGAATAATTTTTGAAGTGGCAAAATGGGCAAAACTTAGAGCCTGGGTATCAGTTGGCCTCAGCATTTTTGTTTGCATTTGTTTAGTTTTTTCAGTGTACAGTGAATATTTTTTTAAGAGTTACCTTTGGAAATTCCATCTATGTTAGAACAGGAAGCAATAAGAGACTTTAAAAAAACCTGAAAGTGGTCAGAATGTTCATGTGTGCCGTGTTCGCATTGAAAAGTAAGAAACCCTTTTTATTTTAAAGATAATTCCATTGTAAACTAAACGACTGCTTATAATTATGCACCAGCACTGCTGTTCACAATTTTAACATTTTTCTTCCTATGATTGGAAATGCACAACCGAAAGCTCTCAGAATGAATTACACTGGGAACCTTGTGTGTCAAGTTTGGACACGATCCTTTCAGAGAATATCGATTTCTATTTTTCCTCCTGCATTATTATCTCGCCCATTTTATTTTTTTATTATTTTACATCGATCCGTCATCAGTTTTAAACTTTTTCGATTCTTTCAGGACCCATGAGCGAAACTTCCGTGGTTCAACAAAGGACGCCCTCCTCAGGGGTCCAAGACTGACATTGCATTTTCAAGGATAAACT